CACAGCCACCTACCATATGTGAAAGCTATTTCCCCAAGTTAGTCTAAATTCCTTCACATATGCCCAGAAGTTTTATGCTACTTTCTGTTTTCAATCATCTGTATTTAAAAAATTATTTTCAAATGTAAAGAATTCAATTGTACCAGCCTTGAACACTGAAATACTTTATTTTTCCAAATGACAGTTATACGAGCAACTAGAAAGACTTCTCTGCAATGAATGCCATTTCACTACTTCTGTATTACAATATTTAAGGAGCTTCTTTAAGTATGAATGCATACATTAGTCTCTTCCTCTCTTTAATATCAGGCTTCTCTTTTAGAAGGATTAGAAAAGGTATGAATTGTACGGCTAATTTTTAGCATATAAACAACCCTCAAATGGAATCTAAACTGAGATTCTATTTAGAAGCTGTATTGTACGTCTAGTCTTATTTTAAATGAGAGGCTGGGTTATGTGGTGATATCAGCACTGATGGCTACTGCATAGTGTTGCTACAGTAAATGTAGCTTTGCCACGAACAACTACAGATTTAAAAAACTCACAAAAGGTAGGTATGTCTTGTACCCAATCAGATAAATTTGGACTTATCCACCAAGTCCTGCAGTTAGCCCTACTTTATGCTATATCCTTCTATAAGTAACGGCTCTCAAACTTTTTGTTGTTGACAATATCTGAGCCGTACTTGAATCAGAAGCCAAAAGTTGCATATCCTATAACCTATTTCTTGAACTAGCCAGCTATTTCAAGAAGAACATGCAAGGTGTCAGTCCTGTTGCAGTCATGTCAAGCAAATGTTTAATTAAGGTGAAAGTTATAGAAGTGTTACCAGTGCAGTCCGTTAATATCTCCTGAGGGTTATATTTTACAGAAGAAGTGGTGTTCGTAGGAACCATAAACCACAGCTGAACAAGTCAGTCAGTCAGAAAAGCAACTCAACATGCATTTTTGTACTGAAAGCAGCAGCTACAACTGGTTTTGTTCACTTATTAGGACTCTTCAGTGTTAGCCTTCTATAAATCAGGCTGCTAGTTGGCAGGGTGTGCACATGCAGCTTACACTTTTATTGCTTTTGTTAGCATCCCTATGGATAGGAAGTAAAATCTTCCTCACAAGCCAGTCAATGCTTTCTGGTACTCAAAGTACTGAAAGTCATGTACACGAAGTAAAAAATGCTATTGGCTGCTGAGTCATGATGATTTAAAGTCTACAGAATGAGACAAGTCCATCTATCTCTGGAGTTACACCGAGTTTTAATATGGGCCAGTAAATACTTTTCTGAAGGAATGATTCTTAAATTATTGGAGGATGTCTATGAATCTAATTTTTTTTCATGATTTCCAAATAGGCAATAGGAAAAGGATGAACTATTTTAGAGAACTTGTCTACTTTTCTGTGAAATCTCTGTGCAAAAGTGAGCAGAACAGTTTAAGGTAAAGAAAAACAAGTTACCTGGGAAGAATGTTAAAATATATATAAAAATTTAAAAAGAGGAGAATTTTAAAGCCACAATATTTCCTGCTATCTTGATGCAGTTTCTTCCTTCTCTGGCAATAGAAAAATATTATCTGCAACAAGAACAGGTACTTAAGTGATAAAACTTTCCAGTGATCTTCAAACAAGTTATAGAGAATTTTTAATTCAAACCTGTTGCATTTGATACAGAAACACTAAGATATTTTAATGGCGCTCACAAAGAGTAATACAAAAAAGTTCTAGTGTTCGGGTCTTTTGGAGGGAGCACATTTTATCTGTCTCTATTCATAGTATTTGATTTTTGTATAGGAAAGTATCTCCAACTAATTTATCTGATTTGAAAAGAACCACCCCCAGGAAGTATAAAAAGAATAATATACTGAAAATTGTAACAAAGTAAATACAATATTTTATGTGCATATCTTGAGTAAAATTTTCAAATGTATCTACTCTACTGAAATTTATCTCGTAAAAAGCCATTTGGACTTTGGCTCCCTAAATGCCTGCAATATTTTGAAAATGGGACAGAGGCACTTTGGACCTGGACTCATTTACTCCAATGACCTGCAGGGCACAGATTTGCTAACGCCACAGCCTTTCTGTTGCTCCATGCTGTGAAAGTCAGCAGAAGTAAGCAGAAAGGTGACTGATAGATACCTGAGCAAGCAGCATATAATCCCATAATAGTGGCCAGAATGAACAGAGGTCCAAAATTTACTGCCTTCTGTATTTTGGGTGAGTATGCAACACTGAGGATGATATATATTTGAGGATCACATAATACATAAAGATTATAAGCTTTAGAGTAGACTTGAGAGGCATATTTTAAGTACGTGTAAGAACATAAAGGGGAAGGATGCAGGAGACAAGAATAATAATCTATGTTTTACTCAAGCCAGATACATGCACAGCTGAATGCTTTTTCTTACTAAAAAACTGTAAAAATATAGGTGGATAAAGTAACTATCTGAGGACTTTATTTGTTCTTTAGTTAGCCATTTTGTTATTGCTACCTTCAAACACTGAGGAAGCAATCTGCCTTCCAATTCATAAATGAAAGCTGAGATTCTTGGATAAACTTATTACTTCTAGTTCTGGAGAAAAACTGAAAAATGTGAAACCTGAGATAACACAAAGAGAATCTACAATGCCATGTAATATGTAGATTACTCATTTTTTTAATGACGGAAATGGAAATCTAGTTAACTGACATTTGACTGGTCTCTCCTTGCATTGAACTGGTTTTGTTTCCTTCTGAAAGAAACAGAGATCCTGATAATCTCATCAAAGAGTCCCCAAACTGAAAAACGTGACAAGAAGACATCTTCCAGAGCTGTCTTTATCTTGCACTAAGATGTTGTCTCATGACAGAACTGTTCAGAACGAAGTGTCAGTAATGAGACATATGCAGCATTATTGACTACCAGATTACAAAGTGGACCTTATTCGGAAGCACTGTCAGACCATTATAGACTCGTTGTTTTGTCGTTGCCTTCTTTTTAAGAAAAAAATTCTTAAAATTTTCAGTCAATTATTAATTTGTTTTGCAAGTTAAGGATGCTAGATGGTAATCTAGATATATGCAGGCAAAATCAGGGCTACTTTTTAGGTAAAGTTGCTGAATTTTTTTCAATAGAACAATTTTCAGTTGGAAAATGCTTTTTCACTGAAATAAAGTCTTTTACAGAAGCATGTTGACACAGAAATTCTTTGAAGGCAAATAGTCAAAGGCGATCAAAGCAAACCCCCATGTTTGATTTGATACTAGTGAATGCTCCATTTGAAGAGAGTAAAACACTTTGATTTATGTTTCTATTCTTTTTTGAACAGATATATTACACTAAAATTAGCCCATCATATTCTATGTTTAATGTTATTATATTGCAAAAAAAAAAAATAATTAACCAATAAAATCTGATTTCAGGAAGAATATTTTTTTTTCTTAACATCAGATAATAATAGTAAATTACATGCTGTCTCTTTTATGGAAGTTCATAATGTGTGGATGTAACCAGTTCCCAGCGTTCCTCAGTTTAAACCTGAAATTTCTTGTGAGAAGTGAGAATTTAATTGGGAAGGAGGTGGTCCAGACAGCCTATCAAATAGACTAAGGTACTTTTTGGCTGATTTAGCCAGAAAAAATTAGTCCATAATTACCTTTCAGGTAAGAAATTCCTCTTGACCATATCGGAAGTATTTGACTGATTGTACTATTTTGGTTCTGGTAAAGATTCTTGTTACTTCATTGCATATTAAAGGATAGTACTCCTTGGAGTTGTCCGTGTTACATGCTCAGCAGGAGTTATCCTTTTTGACACGAGTATTAAGTATAGCTTGTTGTTTCTAAACATAATTTGGAGGTTTTGTTCCAGCAAGAGAACGTGCATATGGGTGCAGATGGCTGCATCTGTTTTATGAATATCTTTGAATTATTAAAATTATGTATTCTTTGAACTTTTCATCAGTTTTAATTTCATCCATTAAAAAGAATGTTTCAGCTACTATTTCTTTTAAAGTAACTATTTAATTTGGCTAATCGACAGCTGGCTATGCTAATTGTGATTGGATCTGTTTTTTGTTCTGTCTCGAAAGAGGCCAAGATTTTGATAACCTAATCAAAGTGAATCTGCCTTCTTTCACAAGTGGCATGGAGTAAGTCTTGCAAGAATCTCAGGCCCTGCTTTTCTAAGGCAGTTGGTAGGTTGTAGCTGTTGGAATATCAGGAAGAGTAACATTGCAAATCTGTAAAATCTTTTCAGGATTAAAAAATAGCATTCCTTATATGGCATGCTATTAGTGTAAAAATAAGAATGAATTAATCGGAATGCAAACTATCAGCTAAACAAGGGATATTTACCGTGAACTTCCATACATGCTTCCTCAACAAAACTACCGTTGAAATATTTTAATATATTTAGGGAGGGGGCATTAAATAAAATATTGACAAAATAATGGATGATAAGTGTTGCCCTGACAAAGTGACATCTAGCATTTCAGTCAGCAAGAAGCATGGTTCATAAAAGGCAGCTCTTATATTTTAGAATAGCACATCAGTTCAGCGTGTTTCAGGCCAAGTTTCTAGTGGTCTGTAAGCAACCCTTCGGAGTAAGCAAAGGGGGAACTGCGAGGGTGCTGTGCTAGGAACAGCTATGTGATGCTTGTCACACTTAACACTTAAACTCTGCAGAGCTTTCAAGAGCAATGTTGTAAGCATTCGCAGCATGTAAATGCTGCCAAGACATAATCATCTATTTTATAGCAGTCTTACATATGTATGTATACAGACACATATATGTAGACATCTATAAACACATTTAGCACTAAACCATAGGTTCTTGGATATGATTTTACTTTCTTCTGATGGTCAATAACATAAATGTTTGCAGACTCTGAACGTTAACTTATCCAATAATTCGCTTTTTTCCCCTCTAAAATGTATGCATAAACGTATTCCCTTATTTTTACTACCTCTTCCCATCTAGGGGGAATATTATAATGCTGTGTTATTTTGTTGTTTTTTTCAGAGGAAAAGACCTTGAGGAGATAACTGAAATAAAGAGTGCTGCTCATAAAAATGAGAGGCAAGACTGTCATAATCTTCTTTTACACAGTTCTGAAATGTTTGTGGTTAGTTAGATCTTGGTATGAATAGGTCCAATTCTGTAAAGATAATTAGGGAAGTTAAAGTTCATACTGTGATTTGATTTAAGCCACAGAATCTTAACTTTATTTAACTCCTCATTAAATAAATACTAGTAAATATAAATAATTTGTTGTGGAGGAAGGTGATTTTTATCTTATTGAAACTCTAAAAAATCGGTGCACGACCACCGAAGTTCCATACATTAACGTGAAATGTCCCATTAAACTAGAGCTTTTCCTTTAAATACAAAAGAGGAGTGCCATAAAAATGGATCATTTAAAAAAAAGTTCGCTTTTTTCTTAGTGTCATCCTTCATTTTCGAATGAGAACCAGTTTGTCCTTCTTCATCTTAAATAGTTTTTCAGTGAATAACATTATCATTTTTAATTACAGGTCAGTTAATAAAGAATCAGCTTTTTCACAGCCAATGAATTTGTTTACTAGTGTAAATGCAGTCATATGGTCTTAGAGACCGTATAGAGTCCTAGATAATAGCATTTGTAAGATGAATCTGGTCGTAATATACAGACAAAGCAAGTAAAGGCACTTCACAGTCTGGCAGCCATTTCTGTAACTCTTGATACAGGTGCATGTACTACTGCATGATGTTATCAACTTATAATGGTAGAGTCACCATCCCTTTAGACCTTTTCGTGCCTTTTTACACCATTTCAATTGTGTAGTTCCATTTATAGATGTCCAGAACAGTTGAGATAAATCTCTGTTAATGTCCCTACCTCTCTTTCACTTTGGAAGGAGACAAGATGCCCAATTAGATGGACTGCCTAACTTTAGGTTCCTGAAGCAAATCACACCCAAAGTATCATTTTTAATAGTAAGATTAATCATCTATTGGAATAAGTTTAAAAGGCTTATGAGCAGTTTCCTATCTTACTGACTTCAGTTCTTTTTTCAAGATTGCTTCTTTACCTAAGAAGTATACTCAATTTCAAGCAGGAATTTATTAAGAAAAGTACTATGGCTTGATTTTATAAATTAGACTAGATTATTGCAATGATTTCTTTTTTGTTTTATACACCCATAAACTTTAGTAGGCATACTAATGTCTAACTACCATGTTAACCAATGTAACAGTGGAAAAATGTCTAGAAACAAATGCTAGAGTCTGAAACTCATAGTACTACAGCACTATAGTAGTGCTACATTAATAGGTAGTACTATATTTATAGCAGAGTTTTTATGTAAGTTTCAAATAATTTGATCTAATGTGATTGAAGAAAGCATGCTTAGCTGAGGTGCTAAAATGTTAATACCTTGTTAATACCTTTCAAATCCCCCAGATATTTGTGTTAGATTTAGCGAAGTAGATTTACAAACTGGGAGAACCAGTTGATACGCTGAAGAGCAGAGCTGCCATTCAGAGGGACCTAGACAGCCAGGAGGGCTTAAAAAATTCAGTAAAGACAAAAGCAAAGTCCCACCTGTGGTAGGAAAGACCCCCTTGCAGTGATACAGTCTGGGGGCTGATAGGCTTGGGAGCAGCTCTGCGGAAAAGGCTCTGGGGGCCCTGTGGGATAGCAAGCTGAATGCGAGCCAGCAATGCACTCTGGCAGCAAAGACAGCCAGCAACATCAGGGGTGTATTAACAAAAGCACAGCCAGTTGATTGAGGGAAGTGATTATCCCCTTTACTCAGCGCTTATTAGACCACATCATTAATACCGCATCCGGTTTGCCTCCCTCCCCCCATTACAAGAAAGACTGATAAACTGGGGCATGTGGCACCAGGATGGCGGGGGCTAGAGCACTTGCTCTTTGAGGAGAGGCTGAGGAGGAACCGGGGCTGGTTCAGCCTGGAGACGGGACAGCTGCGCTGGGACCTCACAGTAGTCCTCGGTATCTATGGGGAGGTCAGCAAGGGGACAGAGCCAGGCTTGGCACAGTGGTATGTGGCAGGAGGAGGAGAGACAATGGGACCAAGTTGAAGCAAGTGATATTCAGGCAGGATATAAGAAGAAACTGTTCCCCATGAACAGTCAGGCAGTGGAGCAAGTGGCCCAGAGAGGCTGCATCCCTAGAAGTTTTCAAGACCCAGCTAGACAAAGCCCTGAGCCACCTGGTCTGGCCTCAGAGCTGCACCTTCTTTGAGCAGGAGATTGCGCTAGAGAACTCCTGAGGTCCCTTCCAACCTGAATCACCCCATGATCCCAAGAACATTTTTGAGTAGCTTATCATGCCTTTTTAATGTTGCATATTTACTGGAGAGCAACTGAAAAATGTTGAGGTTTGAACTAATAACTCTTACTTCATAAATAACTTAAAGCTTTATATGAAACAATTGTGGTACACATTCGATGGAGTCAGGAATCTTCCTTGTGAAGTGCATATAATTTTCTCTTCTTTAACATAATGTAAATCAACCTACTAAACATGTTTAAATTGAATCATATGATTTGATTAATTCTGAGGTATTTCTCACTTTCACAGAGATCAGGACCTTGGTGATCACACTGAAATAAAGCCTGCTGGTGCCCAACGTAAAAAAGGGTGAGACTCAATTCATAGTTCTCTCTAAGATTTAGCAAATATTAGGAGTCGTAGCGTGGTTTAGCGTGGTACCTGACAATGTTCATTCCTAGTACAAACAAACAGAATGGCATAGCTTGAGTAAGAATTCTGAATTATTTATAAAATGTGCAATATAACTGCATATATTTTGATAATGATAAGTAATAACTGAAACTTATAATCTTTTAGCCAATGAAAATGCCTGGTGACAAGATCCATAAAAGTATGTTTGTGCTTATCTAGATATTTTGCGAACTCAGCCCTTCATATCTCAAAGAAATATGAGTCACTGCTACTAGAATTCATAGTGTTTGGAGACACTAGGATGCAATTTGTTTAATTAAAGCAAAGCTAGTATTATGTTTTCAGATAGAATTCACATGGTATTTTTTGGAATTTTTCATTTAGTTGTATGTCTAAATGACGAGGAAGAACTTAGTTATTTAAATACATAAATACTTCTACTATTTTTAATATAAAGTATTTTAATTCTAGCGATCCCCCTTGATCGTCTGACCAGAGAAGCAAATACAGAACATGTATAGTGGGTGGGTTTTTCTTAGTTCTGAAAGGAGGCCTGCCAGATTAGGACGCAAGCACAATAGAGGGTGCTGCTTCATGCAACATGCCATGCATATAAAACAGTGACCGGCACTGAGCAAGGTTTATTTAGTGAAGCTTCAGACCTTGGCAAGCTCACTGAAATAAATCAAATAGCAGGGCAAACATTCAGAGTTAAGGCTTATAATCGTCAAACTGTTTTGGAATATAACTCTTGGTAGAACTAAAGAAGAGCAGCCTTTGTTTGAGCTGCTTTGTAACATCATCAAGAAAATTATTAGCACTTAAATCCTATAATTTGTCTGACAAGGTTTATTTTTGTGTTTGGTAGCACGCCATGTTTATGGCAGAGAAAACTGCAGGAGACAGGGTTTCTTCTGCTTGAATCATAATCCTGCTCTTTGAAATAACAGTCTAGGTATCTGTTTAGCTGGTCGTTTCTAATAAAACCATCACTGTAGTACATCAAAGCAAGAAACAAACTCAGCTTATTTCTCAGTTGAAACTAAAATTTACTAAAAGCAAGAATAAAACGTTATGATCCTTGTTACAGTTTTCCAAATCTCTGGATCTGTTCTGTTCTATCTTGTTATTTTAAATTCTCTTTTCCAAGAGAGTATGAATCTAACAGTACAGAATACCGCCAAGAAAGTGCAGAATGCTATCAATCGCTGAAGCATTAGTGTACAGATGAAAGCCTCAATGCACACTTTGAGGAAACTAGGGGTCAATTAAAGTTAATTGAAGATGCTAATACAAATATACCCACCAGCTAGAGAACTGTAAAGTATAGGGATTCTGTTACTGTTCACAAGCGCTAATTTAACACTATTGGAAAAAAAGATAATATCTTTTTCTTTTACTCACTGTTACTAACGCAAGCTTCTACCTTTAAGGCTATGGGTGTAGCTGAAAGTGATTTTTAAAAGTGTTTGTTTTCTTGTTGCTTTCTTAGGGTAGCTGAGCAAGTGTATGAAAATGCTCCAAGTGCTCCAAATAATCTCTCTACAAACTATTCCAGCAACAGTGAAAGAAAATCCAGGTATTATGCACAATGAATTGAGAACCATAATGTCTAAAGTGCCATTTCTTGCAAAAAAAAAAAAAAGAGAGAAACCGTCTTTATACATCTTTATGAAAGAAAGTTCAGGGATGTTTGAAAACCTCCCGCTGGTCCTTGGAACCTTGCTTATACTGTCAGCCCCCTTCCAAATTTTGCTTGCGGGATCCCATGAATAAAAGCCCACAGAAGCACACAGCTCTAGCGCACAGAGTGGGCAGGGCCCAGCATACCCTACATAACTCTAGAGACATAGCTGAGGCATGAAAAGTAGGAGAGTAGTAAAGCCAGAATTCTCATATAATCAATGGAGAAAAGGCATCTCCAGCGTGTTATTCAGATGTTAGATGCGCTGTACTCTAGAAGAGCTTATTTGTTTCCGAGACTATAAGGAAAACATGCTCTTCACTCAAGTGCTTCATTAGATTTCTAACAGTATACGGGATGAATCTGAACCCATGCATCATTTCTTCTCCTAAACACTGAAATTGTAACATGGGTTTCTGGCTTTTTATGGCTGGATATAGATTGTTTTTAAACACATTTTTCTCATAGTACTCTTGCTCTATCTGGACTCTGTCCTAGAAGTGCATGTATTGCAAATCTGAGTGTAAAATGCAATGTATGGATATTTAATAGAACTGACTAAACTTCAGGTCTGTTGATAAGGGGAAATTGTTGAAAAAAAGGAAACTATATTTTTGTTCACAGTCAAAAAAGTATTTTCCAGCAACAACAAATGTAATATAAAACAAAAAATGTAATATACCATTCTTGAATGAAAGACGTTTTTGGATTAGAAAAATCACTCTTCAGTACCAAGCAACCCATCCATGTAGATTTAAGTATTAATTTGGTCAGGACTGTTTGAAGACACAGTCCTGCATGTAAGGGGTTTTACTGCTATACAGTGGTGATGAACTGGGGACTCAAAGCTGAGGATTTGGAAGGAGAAGAAGAAACCTTCTACTGACCCTTAGTAATTGGGAAAATGTCTCCTCAGTCTGGAACTTTATGGGAGCAATGGCCAAGGTCCTTCTCCCTGCCTTCACCCACACCTTGGCCTTGGTGTGGGTCGGGTATGACTAGGCACAAAGTCTTTGGTCTCTCATTTTCTTTTATTTGCTGCAGGAACTTGGGGTGAGGTAGCATGGTTGGGATTTGCATATTCTGAAACTTCTGTGTGGCCATGAAGGCTAAACCAATAAATTGCCTGAGAATAAAAAAAAGCCAAACAGCATATACTTTTAAAACTCATAATGAGTATTCAACAAACAAATTAATTAACACTTTGCAGCATTTTGCAGACATACAGCTTATCAGGTGTAATGTTCTGATTATCTTTGAAAGTTGAAAGAGAAAGATAACACAAGAATGGAGGGGCAAAGAATGTGCTTCAGTGTGGTGTTACCGTGGACAGTGATTCTGAAAAGACATGCTTAAGACAAACAGTGTCATTTTCAGGCTTGCTGCACCAAATATCCATGTTATGTTGAGTATGCAGTGCCCAGTACACACATTGCCATTCTCAGCCTTGACTTAGCTAGAAAATTTGCAATGTCAGAATGTCCCAGCATCAGATTCTACAGCTAAATATAGTGAACTGAAGAGAAGATTTGAGAGAAATAAGTTTAACAACAGAAGGAAGCTCAGAGAGGCCAGTACATTTTAGAAATACAGAGCTATTATTACTATGCCACTTTTGTTTACAGCAAGAAACTTTAGGCACTTTAGTTGCATCTGCCAATATACTCCATCCAGTAACGTGTGTTTTGCACATATGTCTAGCTTGACAAGGGCAAAGCCAGCCAGAAAAACTCTTTTAGAAGGAAATCAGTTAACTTCAGTTTGCTTTCCTACTTGGAAGGCTTACTTTCATATTGCCTACAATGTAAATGAAAAACTGAGTGTTCATATGAGAGGAGCTAATTCTTTGATGAGCAAATCCAGGCTTGCTACTAATTATTAAATAATAAACATCCTGCTACACTTTATCAAACATATATAAGCATTTATCATTTAAAATACTCACTAACCGTGCAGTTTTAATCCGTTTCTGATGTTGCATAGAAATCAAGGAAGACAGATTCATTACAAAAGAGAAATATGTGAAAAAGTGTGTCTGGGCTGTGTAATACCTCATACATACATGTTATCGGTTGTAGTGGACTCTATTACACTTTCCCTGAAAAAGGCATGTTCTTCAAATACACAATTATAAAAAAACAATTCATAACATTGCTAAACATCATTCAACAGTGATACAAAATGTGTAATGATTACTATATACCTTATGCATTTCTGGAGAAATAGGATATTTAAATCAGCTCAGAAGTGTTCAAAACATGTATGGCAAGATGGCTTCCACAGCTGTCACATACTTGCTCATCCCTTCCATGCCAAACAAAACTGACAGGTAAGCAACCAGAACAGAGACTGTTAAAAAAGGAAGACTTAACTTCTCTGGTAGTTAAATTCAGGAGATTCCTTCCTACTCTGTATATAAGGAACAAACACAATTACTGCGGTAAACACAAATCACACATGGAACAGCCTGTGCTCTAAAGACCCTCACACTACTTCTAGGGATACATTGTAATCTTGCTTGGCTGTTTGACAGCTATTTGAGGACTAGTGAAAGAAGAATAACAAAGAAAAATAAAGCCTGCCACCGTTTCCTGACATGTATTTGTGTATTTATTCCTGACATGTATTCCTGACATTTAAACTGAGAAAAGAGTGCAGGCAAAGCCAATGTCATATTTGTAGATTTTCCTCAATGGGCTTATAGATTTCATTTTGAAATACTGAAGAATCATACAATAGCAGAACACAGACTAAGACAGGACACATTATACTTCTACTTTATACATTTTTATTTGAATATTTTTCTTGATAGTCATGAAAATTAGGGATGAAAGTACTCATCACTCAGCGTATTTATACAAATGCATTACACTTGTTTAACTTGCATATTATCAGCGTAGTGCAACCTTTAAAAATAAAAAGTACTCTTTAATAATTGCTATACCCTCACTGCCTCACAGCAAATCATCACATGGTGTCTATGAAGAAAATATGACTGGAAATACTATCAAAACTGTTTACTCTACTTCTGATAGGTAAGTGCACATTAATAGTGCTGTACAGTATCAAAGGGCATAGACATTTTGCATAACCTTTCAATCATTCAGACAAGAGATGCGTGGAAGTCACCATCAGGCTAGTCAGAGAGCTTTTCATAAAGGGCTCCCTTTCAGTGGGCCCTTGCCATCAGACCATCCATTACCATACTTCTGCAGCCTAATCTTACATTAGGCTTGTCACAGATGACATTTAAAATATCTGTTGAAACAATGGCCAATGCCTTAAGTGATAGAGTTGGCTATGTGATTCTGCAGTTTTCTGTCTTTGGTAGCTGCTTACTCTAAAATGTCCTTCCTGTGTGAAAATAGTGTCTGTGATGATCAAGTTTAAGTACAGATGTGGATGAATAAGTTGGCATAATAATGTTGTTAAAAGCTTTATTTTTTCACACAAATTAAGATATTCCCAAATATAAGATGGATATTTGCTCAAATCAGTAATATTTTAACTCTTGGACAAAGAAAATTTTTAACTGTCCTCACCATTTCAATACAGATAATATGGCTATTCCCATTATTTGGAAATATAAAGAATCATAAAAACTTGCATCTTTTCTAAAATATGTAAAAGGAACTCCGTGAAAATATGAATACAACAGTTTATCAATGTGTGGAAAGGAGCAAGACCAGTTAATTTTGCAGTGCAAAAACAACACCAGCAGTTGTGTCTAGAGAAAGCATAGATTAATATCACATGAGGGTGCAAAAAGAACTGAGAGGATTAAAAAATGATTATTCTTATGAATACCAGGTGGGCAATTCTGTACATTTCATGTGTTCATTATAATTGCCATGAAAGTAGGATTTCTGTCTATGGTACAGAAAATAAAAAATGCTTGCGGTCACCTCTGCAACACTGAGGAGAATTCTGTACCAGATTGATCACATGATGGCAGTTTAAACTCAACTACCAATTTGCTTTTGTGATTAAAATGTTCTAATTATTACCTTCCACTTCATCCCCATCTAGTATACATGCTTTCAAGCATTCAGCAATTTAGTACAGTTTCAGTACTGTTTGAAATCATTCCGTTCACCAAAGACGACCATTCTTTTTATCAAGGCATTTTTGCTACTTGACAATTATATTCATCAGTTTGCCCATCACAGCAGCATATATGTTATGCCTGTCAACTACAGTGGAGGGAATATACATGTGACATGTTTCCGTTTATGACCATTGTACTGTACACTAATGTCTCTCCCATCGAATACACTAAGGTAACCAATTTTCTCCTTAAGATTTCAGTGGTAGCTTTTTTTTCTGACAGCTGATGTTATATTATATACACAGGAGTATAATTGGAAAAGATATATGTACATACTGCAGGAAGCCCTTGGGCATAGATGTCAAAATGATCTTAGATGCCTTGCAAATTTGCTGTCACTCAACTTGCTTCAAGGTAAGAAGGTTACACCTGCTACTAAGAAATACAGTTTAAATATAATACCTACTTTATATTACACATATAATAAGAGAATTAGGCCTTCTCCACCTGGGAGAAGAGGAAGACTTGCACACTGGAGGAGAAGATTAATCTAGATAATACCGTATCTCCTCTCTCTCTCTCTCTCTACTGCTCTCTCTTCCTCTGTCTCTCTCTTTCCTGCCATCTCTCTCTCTCCCCCATCTCTCTTTTCTCTTTTTCTCTCTCCTCTTGCAACCAAAAGGAGGATAAAGGATGTGGTAAGACTTACCCTGAATCTCCTATGTGTTTATAAGCCTTCAGTTATGTTCACTTCCAGTCTGATATATCTGGTATATCTAGTATATACTACTTATTTTTATATTATAAAGAAAGTATTTGTTCCACTTATTTTATATAAAGTGTTTTGTTCTTGATTAAGTGACACCTAAAATCATGGCTTATGAAGGAGCCATATTCAAAGTCATTAGTAAGAGGTATTTAAGGCAGCAGATATGAAATCATTTGACCTCAGGGTCAAAGAACTGGTTAAAATTTGGGTCCTATGAATTGTTTCTTTTGTACTGATAAAATGATATTGAAGTTGGGTAAGTCTTTATTTCAATCTCGTTTATTACAAATTATGTAGACAGTCTTGTTTCCTTTTCCCAGTAAAAAATGAAAGAACAACAGACAAATTTTTAAGTCCAAAGCCTAAGTTGCAAAGCCTAAATAGTCCAAAACTCTATTTCAACCTTTTGTCAAAGTTCACCTAACAGAGCTCTGCTCTGTAGTCTGTGTTTCCTTGCTGCCCTGCTTCTCTTGATTCTCCTTGTATCTTCATGCACAAAGTTCATTGTTCCAGCAAACAATACTGAGCAAAACTGCCTCATTAGCACAGCTCATTCTCAGTCGTCTTGCATAGCTTACACTTTTGCTTCTGACAGCAGTTCTTTTACCTAGTTATTGCATGAAAAGTAATCCAAACCAGAACACAGCAGTAAGGTTGTACTTTACATCTATGAAGTTGCATATGCTTTTTGTCTCATATAGATTTTCTGAGCTCTGTGAGCACTAGACATAAAATTTTCTTCCATGACAATCACTATGTTATACTTCCTCAAAAGCATTATTACAAGTAAAAATAAACTCTGGTTGGATTCCTTTCCTTTTAAATGGATTAGCCCACATAAAGAAGAAAAGGCTTTCTAATACAGTTAGGAGCATTAACTTACCCTTTTGGTATTGGCTGAACTATTTTTTAAATATTGAAGTTTACTTTTTTAAATGGTATTCTTTTTGCTACTTATTCCCAAATGGCAACCTGTCTAGCCAGCAAAACTCAGCTTAAGCTTTGTGTAACTACCTATTTATGAAAGCATTTACAAAAAATTAAACAGCTAATGTAGCTCTGTGGTTCATGCTTGCAGTTATGTACTTAGCTAAGTACTACAATACCTCACATTAATATTCATTTAGCTCCTTATAAATCCCTTGTATCCGTTAGAGAGTTACGTGTAGTTTGAGAGGAGTAAAAGGTCTTTGTTTCCCTTGAAAGCCATATACCAAAAGCTCAGTTGAATCATCTGCATTATAGAGAATCATCTGCATTATATATTTTCTCTATATAAAAATACTAGTTAAACTCGGTGATCAAAGCTTTGAAAACATTCCCATCATTTTGGTGATTTATATAAGAAAACATGAAATGAGAGAAGAAAAAGCAGGCTGTTTTGAATAGTTTAGGTACCTTGTTACTAACAGCTTATTTAGAAATGATATAGAAGAAAAAACATAGTTCTTCCATAAAACTGGAAAGAAAAAGGAAAATATTCTCTAGTGCTCTGTTATACTTATCAATACTAAGTGCAATACTGAGTGCTTATTTTCATACTAGCCTAAAATCATGTGTAATATGAGGCAACTGTGTGTTGCCTGGATCTGTTGAATCCTGAGTCTGATAGATCAAAATATCTTTAAGCCAATAGTGCTGACTGACATCATGCAAATTCTTTATTCATTTAGCTGCAAAGGGATGTCTTGGATAGAATTTCAATTTTTTATTTTAACAAAGATTTTCAATCCAAAATTATATGAATAGACAGCCATTATGTGAAAATTATGGAAAAGCCTTTTTTATGGGCTAGCTGACAATTTGGTTACTGAATGGCACTGTAAAAGCGATGTTAATTTTCACATATCAATGATAAAATACCTGAAGAAAGAAGGATTTGTCATTCTCTTATTGGACTAGAAAAAAAGAATGATCTGGAGGTCAGGATTCTGGTCTATAGATTGAATGACTTAAGTTTGCACCTTGATCCACTGTAGGGTTTCCTTGTGATCTTGGGAAGTCTGCCTCTGTATATCTCTGTATTGTTGTGTCTGGAACACGGGAGATACTCCTTTATCTCAAAAGTTTGGTTTTTCGCAAATTTATTAAAGCAGTACCTGGATTCAACAATTATGGGGGACATATTTAATGATAGTAGTACCAAAGATAAAAGTACCATAAAATATTTTGAGATAAGCGGGTATAGATTCCTTGAGATGAGAATATTTACTCTTAGTTGGATGTTTAAGTCTGATCATGCTTTCTTTACTCAATGAAAACAAAAAGAGATCTCCAAAGGGTGATTCGTCTTAGAACACATTTCTAAGCTAAGACAGAGAAATTACCCTTTGGAAGCATCAGGGCAGGAGGGGTTGCTAACAATAAAGAGAATGTAGGAAACAAGTCCAGATTTAGATATCTTACTTTTAGGGGGTCTAAAGATTAGGTTTTCAGATTTAGTGCTGATGAAAACTACTCTTTCATCAGATTTGATGATACTGCAGTACTCATAACCCCTATTCTGGTCTGGGAATGTTAGCATTCTAGAAGAAAGCATGCTAGGAATGAATATTAAAGGGTTTTAATTTTTATTGTACTTGTGTGTTAAAGTGTGAAGTATGCAAAAGACCACTGGAAGATCTGAAAGCAGGAGACAGCATTTGGATTTACAGACAAACTGTGCACTGTGAGCCTTGCTATTCCAAAGTTAGAGGTAAGATGTGTTGTGTTGAACATAAGAAGAAAGAAGAAGGAAAAAAAAAGAACTTCATTCCAGTAACCTGAATATATTGCCTGAATATCTTGCAATACAGCTATTGCTTTTGCTTTTATTTGTGCACTTAAACCTTTCCAAAATATTACACTGAGTAAGACTGGGTTGCTTAGGATGAGATCCAACTCCAGGCTCTATTCATATGAGTTTTTTTGTATCCATGAGTGAGATCTCTAAGTTCTCATTGTAGACACCTACTTGTGCAGTCATTGTGTACAGTGATGCAAATGATTCTTGCCCTGAAAGTCACAGGAATATGTTCCAAGGTCATCTGAGAATCAGGTTGCTATGATTCTGCAGATTTACAAAAACATAATGAAAATATTTTACAGTGAGTAGCATTCTTTCCCTTGTGAGGAGCATAGTGAGTAATCAAACATGCAAGGCATGTAGACAGTAAAAAATGAAGCTTTTTCATTATTTTTTCTAGGAATTGCAAGATTTTATGTCTTCCCTGTTCATGGCAATTATTAATTCATAATACTATAAATCAGGACCTCTGTACTGGATAGAGACAAACAGAAACCTAGATGAAATGTTCTGATAAGTTAGTGTTTAATGATGTGCTTCTTTTGAGATAGCATTATGCTAAGTACAATTATATTAATCAAATTGTTTTGTTAAAATATACAATGCTATTAAGCCAATGCCACATTTTAACTGTAAAATTCACTGTTCTCTTCATCAGGTTAAAAAATTAATAAGGCATTGTGACAGTTATAAATCTGTAAAAAAAAAAATTGCCCTGAAGTCTAAAGTTTCCTCATATGACATTTAGGGAATACTGATTTGCTTGGCATTTCTGACCCATCTTTTTTCTCTTGCAGAAAAATGGATCTACTAATCTGGACCTACAGAAAGCTAGAAGATCCACTGGTGTTTAGTTAAGTGTATTCAAACCGCTATGGAAAATGATTATTATTGCTAAAACTAAAGTACTCTAAATGTAGCCCTACTGCATGGTTCCCAAAGGAATGAATTCCAGTAGAATTTAAATGCCTTTTTATATACACATTCCAGAAAGCAAAACAAGATATCGTTCAGTATATTCATCAGATGTGCGAAACTACTGAATACACAAATACCTAACAGAAATTTTGAAACAGCTGTATTCTTTTTGCTGAAACCACGCTTCCTCAGATATAAAGAACTGTTATCTTTATATAGCATGGATGGGATTAATTTCATGTAAGATTAGCATCTAAAAGTCAAATATTTAGCTTAAACTACTGGTTTCATATAGAGTGAAGTGGATTTCCTCTGTACCTTTGAGGAAAGATATCAGCCTCCAGTGGAAGATTGTTTCCAAATAACTTCAGTGATAATTTTATGATAAAACAAGTCATCTTTGGAAAATGCCTATCTCTATTGACTATAGGGGTATTCTAGAGAAAAATTGTTAGAAAGTTTAAGTTACTAGTATACCACTCTGTGTTTTTAATCCTCAATTATTGTATTACCATTTTTTAAAAAATACATACTTCATAGCTGCCATGAAGTCACGAAATATAGACTTTGCATTTCGTCACATATTAATCTGTCCTACTTTATTAAGCTGAATCTGTAAGTGCTTTGGATAGATTCATCTCAGCTAAATTTAAACATCTATGGTGTACACATCTACTATTCTCTCTTTATAGTCATTACAGAGAAGTAGACATTTTTAGGAAGCGATTCATCTAATCAAATTATAAACATCTATTTTTTGATGTGGTAAACCATGCTCTGAAAGTATGTCTTCCTTTCCACTGTCTGCCAAGGAACTTGGAGTGAATAATTGATTTCTAGACATCTACATTAGGCCAGACAAACTCCTTCCCTGGAGACTACAATGAGAGTAGTTTTTTTTCTTTTTTTGGACAGGGTATATGTGTTAAAATATAGAAATACAAAGAAGAGTTCATGCTTTGTTATAGTACAAGTTTCCACGAGAGTCTATAGTTGTATGTTCTGTTTGCCTGAAATAAGAAATAATTCAGCGTTTTACCGGACAAAAGAGGTGTTAACTGCTATCCTCTGCCTTGGGATGTTTTAGATCATGGATATTCAGAATTGATATTTCTCCCTTATATCTCAGCTGAAAAGAACTTAGATATCTATTTTTGACAGAATCTATTTTTCCCCCAAAGGCTGAAAAAAGTAAAGTACACATTAGTTAAGTGATTCCCTCACCCCCAAAATGACTCTAGAGTAATGCAGATTTAGTTTAAAAGGAAAACAGACATGTAAAGAGATCTATTTTTTTCTCCTGTTACTCAGGAGACAGTTCAATTAATTATCTATAACAAACATAAATATAAAAAGAATGAAGGGGCTACATATTCTAGAAAGCAGTGGCCCCAGGGGTTTAAAGTTCATCTTTGCAGTCCTATGATCTAGCTGATTCTAGCTTCCTGGCACAAAAAATAGAATGCTCCAAGACTGCCAGAATCTGAGCAGAGTTTAAAAGTTTGAAAAGTAGCAAAGCCACAGATTAATGTTAGACTACTGAAGGGATGTCCCAGCCATACTTTCTCCCTTCTTTTGCACCTTCAGTGGTGGAGACAGGTGGTATGGATATCTGTAATTTAAACCATTGGAATCTCACCTGAGTAATGATGTAATTTAGGTTGCCTATCTTAAATTATGTTCAGACTGTTGCACACAAAGGAGTCATGAAAGAGCAGATAATTTGGTTTGCTATTTTTTTATGAAAATTCTTATGAATTTATGGCAGTAACTTTAATAAAACATATTATTATAAATATTATAAATATTTTTGCAGGTGTGTGTCTATTGCTGATGATGTATTTTAGTTAAACTGTACTGGTTGTTATCCTGTATTTCACTAGGCAACAATGAAACTTGTTCAAGACTTGGAGAGAATTAGTGGAGAAGTTTTAACAGCAGGTTGCAAATTTGGTTCTATTCAGAAACCAACAGTACTTGGGCATGCTTGCTTACAACAGAAGATATTAGGTATTCATTTGAGCCACCCCACTAGAATCTAGGGTTTTCTAGTGTTTGAGGAGATGTGATATTGTAGTTCACTCCACTAGAGACCAGGAACAAACCCTGGATCCAAATATCTGCTACTTAAATGCTCGCTGACAGAGAAGCAGCAATACAGAAACAATAAATAGTAATTCTGTGCTCATTAATTCATCTTTGCTGAACAGCCTTCATAATTTGCCATGTGTTTTTGTTGTTGTTGTTATTTTTATCATACGTTGTAAGTTTGCTGAAAAGAAACACCAGTTTTGTGATGCATGGTATTTACCATATAAAAGCCTGGATGGCAGTACTCATTAAAAAAACCCATTAACATCTCAATACCAGTTTATCAAAACTCAATTGTTTTTTGTGCCTTTTGCATATTATTAGCATGTGTTATTTTATTTCTTTTTGACTAGTACGTCCATGAAACAATCCAAAGAAACAGTTTGCTGGCAGCTGCTTTAATGAAAGTGTTATCCTCAATAATCCATTAAATTGGACTGAAAAGCTGTATTGAGACATGGTGTACTAAATTATGTGTGTTTTGTGAATCATTACACCCATTTTCTCAATAAGCAACGGATACTTCTTTATTTTACAAAGCAAGGGCATAGCTCTAAAGGGCGGAGAATCAAGCAGTAAGAGAAAAGGGGTGAAATAAAACATACAGTGCATATTGATGCATGTAGATGGCTTCAAAACTGCAGTTTTGATGCAGTAACGAGGTCACAAGAACTGTTTTGCTGAATTAATATATTCTGTTGTATGCTGTATAAGTTCTTACAGCACGCTTAGTCTGAGCATCCCTTAGCAGTGCTTGAAGCAAGGTGATGAACGTCTTCAGCATTGTTTTCTCATCCTTTTATTCTTGTAGCAAATGTCTCTTGAGTTTGGCAAGACACACACCGTCTTACTTTCTGGAACCTCATTACCTAGGCTTATAAAAGCCTGGTCAACATCAAAGGGTCCTAGCTTTTATTCAGTCGGTCAGCTCTACTCTTTCTTCCTTGATATGGAGATGCGCATTGTGTTGGGATAGTTTTGAGTGTTCACTTTATTTACTGAGAACGTATATAGGTCAGACCTCTGCTCCCCATGTTGCACTCCTTGATATTATTAACATAATCTCATTATTTAGGGGGAAAAAAAATCTACATTCCTGTTAGTTTTTGCTTTCCAATCATGCTTGCTTGCTCACTGCAACTGCTCTGTTACACCAGGAGGTGGTTTTAGCTTCCAGACTGGACGGTATCAGACTAAAAGGGAGAAATGTAGCCTTCCCTTTTCCCCTCTGCTGCACCAAAACACCTCATTTTTCTTCACAGCAGCATAACAGAGACACGTTTCATTCCATAAAGTCTGAAATTGTTAACCAAAATAGCTCTGTTCAGCTGCTTAACTGATGCATAATCCTTGAGGTCTTAACCTCAGGAGATATTTCCTTCTTTGACTTCAAAGTTTCTAGAAGTCTGCTGTTCTGCTTTGCGCTTGGCCTGGTCTGAACGACTCAGTTCTTATCTTCTGCATAAGTAAAATTGGGACTTAGAAACATTCCATATGTTTTAGGGAGAAGAATCTGTAGGTATTCTCAAAGCATGTTTGGCACATACTGCTAAGATCAGACCCCACAAAAATACAGCGATGACTGCTGTTTTTTAAAACATGGAGATGGTGTTGCTCCTCTCTTTGAATAGATCACTGTCCCAGAAACTGGGAGGGCCAAATTCAGTTTCCCCTCTCAAGGTACATATGTTTCAATGAACTGGTGTAATATCAATGCCACGGACTCTAGTGTGTGGAATGAAATAGATGTTCCCATTAGTGTTTTTGCCATTTTCCCTGACCTGTAGAGCCTGGATCCTTATGGTCTGTGAACAAAACACAGCTGTACTGCCTGCACAATTCCTACCTATGTGCCTACATCTACCCTTCAGGAAAGATGGCTGAATAGAAAATGCAGAAACAGTCCCAGGAGCAAAGACCAGATTCTGGAATCCCTCCATCTCATTAGAGTGGTCTAATTCATAATTAAAAGCAATATTAATGATTCTCTATTTATCTCTGTTAATTCTGTGCTCCTTTCTAGCAACATTAGAGGTGTTGCCTGCACTCAGGTTTGGCTGGAGCAGGATGGTAAGGGCACTCTCTTTGAAAATGGAAGTTTGGAGGATTTATTTGAGCATCCTAGAAATGTCTCCATTCACTTTTGTAAAGAACATGCTAATCTCTTTTAAGCCTTAATATCTTACTTGCCTTCCTAGGGTGTGAGCTCTTGAACAGGTACTGAGTCTGTGTTTGTGCTATGCCCAGAATAGCAGTGGCCTCTGGGTGGTACTGCTGCACCTATGTGTGTGGCACAAGAAAAACTCAGATATCTACCTCCCTTTCCAGGCAAGCTACTTGCAAATTTACAGTTTTTCATGGAGTTTTAATAAATGTGTCAGCTGCAAATTGACAACCACACTCTCATAACTTGTGCCAAGACTTAAAACTGGTTGGTTTTGTCCTATTAGAGTCAATATCTGAGTATAATTTTGCCAAAAGCCCTTGTCTGTGTCTTGGCATTGCTGTGCAGTCATCAGACATCTGTTTAGGGTGCTCAGATAGCTACTGTGGTCAAAATAATGGGCCGTCAACATTTAAAAACCACCTCCTCAGAAAGAAAAAAGGAAATAGAGAATTGTTTCTGAAAAAATAATCTGGCATTCAAGTCAGTATGGTTCCTAGTGGGAAACAAAGGATTAGTGTTCATGTTAAAATATCCAAAAGAATCAGAAAAGGGAGAAAAGATTAAGAGAAAGGTTAGAGCATTATACAAAGTTATGGACAAGTAGAATCAGTGATTTAAAACTGGGGATAAACATTTAAAAAGCAGTGGTGTTGCCATAAATATGGTGTCATTGAAATCAATAAAACTTTACTGCAAGAGGAATACTCCAGAAAACTTTGTTCTTCATATCTTCTGGTTCTTCTAGGAGGCTTCCATCTATTGAACTGAGAGTTATGTTATCCCTATATGTAGTAGTTCATATCTTGGAATTAAGAATGTGAAACCATAGTTGTAGCATTATAATCTCAAACAGACAAATATTTAAAATACTAAAATTTGGGAAATCCACAAAATTATACAATTGGTACTGCATTTAAACACTGCTTTTATCAGCTTACCAATGAAACACCTTTTTCTCATAAAATATCAGTTTTCTCAAGACAAAATTTTCCATGGGAACAAGTATACCAGTTTTGACATGAATGACATCTGTGGAAAGCGGGAGGAGGAAAACGGAAGGAGTGATATTTTTCTGCCTATTCAGCTGTAGTGTGAGACATCACAGATATTCAGTCAGAGGAGAGCACATGCTTTGAAGATGGCATTTTCTATTTTGTTACCTCAGAGATCAACAGGACTGTTTAAAAAGTTAGATACCTTCTCATTCAGAAAAAGGATTTTCTCCGTAGGGATATTAAGATGAAACAAAAGAGTGGAGTTAGAAGAGACTGCTTCTCACAAAGTAATTGGAACAAACACAAGGGTAAGATCTGCCTAAGAATATGTTCTTCCCACAGTGCTCGAATTCATACGCCCTTCATCAATCCAGTGGGTGTGCTTAAGAAATGTCTTTGCAGTGCTAGTATTTCTTTTATTTCCAAATTGTCTTGAAAGGACTGATTATAAAGTAGCTCTCCTCAAGCCTTGGAGGTGTGTCTGACATTGACCATATACTTACAGAATGGATGGAAATGACCCACAGCCAGAAAGTGATCCATCACAACCCAGATCCAGGAGACATAGCACCATGGCAAATGTTGTAATGTTGGTCTAATGATTTGTCTTAAGTACCCTACAAATTAAGGAGCATATGGAAGAAAGGCTCTGGACAACATGTTTGGATTTAGGTTCTTTACCTAAATTCTAAATTTACCACCTAAATTCTGCTTTAGGTTTCTTGGCCATTTATTGGATCTGAGCCAAGTCTCTTCTGTGACTGAGTGGGTTATAGATAGTGCAAGGACAGTTTTTTTGCATGCTAGGCTTTTTTCTCATCCGATCTGACAGGAAATACAGAAATCACAAAAAATAAATTGCACAAGCATTTCTGGATATTCAGCAAAGATTCGTACTTAATTAAATTGAATTTGGATGAAAGTTCAGGTACTTAGTGTTTTAAATCATTCCCCCATCTAAGAATTTAACATACACACATTTTAACGCAAGAAAAACCTTTCAAGCAGCTGTAAACGTTCCATGCTCTTTTGACGTTGATTCAACCACGGAATCAGCACCAGTCAGGTTTTCCTTTTCAAAAAAAATATTTCCTATTGGACTGAGGAGGCTCTGTGATATTTAATTTTTCCAACACGTGTCACATAATCTATGGTAAGCATACTGCTGTTTATTTTTTTAACAAGGTAATTTCAAAACCAACCACTACAGCATGAAGAAGCATTCACTTGTTGGCCTAAACTTACTAAAATTTCCAAATTATAAAAATCACTTACTGTTATCTATATGATAGAGTTACTAACATAGATGGTAATTTTTTTCCACTTTCTTGTAAAGCTGCTGAATTTCTTAAATCAGCTTCCACAACTGAATGTAGATAGAATGTAGACAGAAGACCAAAAAAAAAGGAAGAAAACAATGACTAGAATTAGTTTAGCCCTCCAGTATATTTATGTCATCTCAAAATTTTTTTTGTGTCAACAGCTACCCTAAAGACAAATCAAGCTGAAATCAGAATTCTTGGCAAAATATGTGTCATGGATTTTTAGCCTCCTGGAGGTAAGTTGTTTTAGTACATCTGTCATTATAGTCTTCAGCACTTTATACTCAAACAGCCTATCTGCTGTTTCAAATCCTTTTACTCTAACATTATCAGCTTGTTCATTAAAAACACTGAACCCCACATCTCTTCCTCAGCTTTCTACCCTCAAAGGCACATACAGAGAGAGTGCGAATTCTTATTCACCAGTCATAGTGTTCTGTGAACCAAATTATATCCTCCAATATATATGTATACTGAAGACAAAGCAAATGTTCAAGTGTCTTTAAAAGCATAAGTCGTTTTTATAATTGGTGAAAACTCATGAAAACAAAAGAACTTATCCTGATTTATAAGACTCAGGTTCATGCTTTCTGTCTAGAACTTAAGGAAGGGAAAAAACAAAGAAGGTAAGGAATCAATGTGTTTGTAAGCCAGAGAAATTTGATATGGAATTGATGAGTCAAAATACAGTAACACTCCATTAAACTAGAACTGTCATGGGCGGTTCCATCTAGATAGACCAACAGACTAGCAGACCCTATGCTTAATACATGGACACCATTTTTAGATACTGTAAATGCTGATTTTCTGAAACAGGTGGAGCTCAGAGAAAATGATGCAATTCTGAATTTAATCCCTTAGAAAATCCATTCTAATAGTTATTACAATATACTCGAATTTAACATTAATTTATTACGG